AGACAGAAGGCCCCACCAACAGAGGCAGGCCACTTTTCAATATGAGATTCATTATAGAGATGGAACCATAGATCAGGGACCTCTCAGTGGGCAACAAAAAGTCAAAAGCTTCACCATTTCTCTACACACACAAAGAGTAACACTGTGCTGACAAGATCGATTATCAAAGCTGTGGATAACTTCACACTTTAAATGGGATGGCCAACATTGCTATTCTAAGAAACCAAATGGCAAATCCTTTTATAAAGCAGATAACTTCCTCAAGTTAAATGGTGAATAAATGTGATATATCTTCATATATTGTTTACATTAATAATAAAAATAAGAGCTACTATTCGTCTATTGAATACAAGCTACTGAGTGCCTGACAACACACTCAAAGTTTTAAAAACACTAAAATTAACCAGTCAGAAAACGACAGGTGTTGGCGAGGATGTGGAGAAAGGGTAACTCTCCTACATTGTTGGTGGGGATGCAAGCTGGTGCAGACACTCTGGAAAACAGTATGGAGGTTCCTCAAAAAGTTGAAAATAGAGCTACCCTATGACCCAGCAATTGCATTACTGGTTATTTACCCTAAGATGCAAATGTAGTGATCCAAGGGCACCTGGATGGCCCCGTGGGTTAAGCCTCTGCCTTCGGCTCAGGTCATGATTTCAGGGTCCTGTGATCAAGGCCCGCATTGGGCGCTTTGCTCTCAGTGGGGAGCCTGCTTCCCCCTCTTTCTCTGCAGGCCTCTCTGCCTACTTGTGATCTTTCTCTGTCAAATAAATAAATAAAATCTTTGAATAAAAAAAAAAATGTAGTGATCCAGGGGCATGTGCACCTGAATGTTTATAGCAGCAATGTCTACAATAGCCAAACTATGGAAAGAACCTAGATGTCCATCAACAGATGAATGAATAAAGAAGATATGGTACATATATATAATGGAATACTATGCAACCATCAAAACCCCCCAAATCTTGCCATTTGCAATGATGTGGATGGAACTAGAAGGTATTATGCTAAGCGAAATAAGTCAGTCAAAGAAAGACATTTATCATATGATATCATTGATACAAGGAATTCGAGAAACAAGACAGAAGATCATAAGGGAAGGGAAGGGAAAATGAAACAAGATGAAACCAGAGAGGGAGACAAATCATAAAAGACTCAATCTCAGGAAACAAACTGAGGGTTGTTGGAGGGGAGGAGGGTTGGAGGGATGGGGTGGCTGGGAGATGGACATTTGGGAGGGTATGTGCTATGGTGAGTGCTGTGAATTTTAAGACTGATGAATAACAGACCTGTACCCCTGAAGCAAATAATACATTATACATCAATAAAAAAATGAAATAAGACAGAAAATAAATAAATAAATAAATAACTATCTTATTTAATCTGTATCTTCACTTTATGAGGGAGAAATGCTTATTATTCCTCTTTTATAGAAAAAGCCAATGGCTAAGTAACCTGCCTCTTAGGGCAGGGCTGAGATTTAAATCATAGGTCTCCAGACTAACACTCTCTATGGTTTCTTTGCCATGTTTTGCTATTTGGATCACTTTCTCATCTAAGAAATCACAGACATGGACATTCCCAAGGAAACAGCCCCTTGGAAGATGACCTCAAAGGCTGAGATTTTTCTTCACAATACAGACATTGAAAGGAAAGCAACCTGCTACATCTTATATTTCAAAGCATTTCTATTTTAAGAGAGATTCAAGAAAAAGATGTGGGAACAGAGCTTAGGGATGCTTATGAATGCAACTACATAAATATTTTTTCAGTATCTACCAGTGGTCAGCATGTGCTGAAACCTGAATGATCAGACTGTTAGCTGAGAGACAGGGCAGGGGGCTACAGGAGGGGATAGTGAGAACATCTCCCATAGTGACTGTTTCAGGAATGTTTAGCCAATAATTTACAAAATGTTACTTTATTATAACTACATAGAAAGAAGCTTTCACACACAGGAGATGAGTTACCTCCTTTATTACCTGTAAATACATAATTGAAAGGGACAATGTATCTTCTAAAATAGAAGTTTTACATAATTCAAACAACTTGTGTGTTCCTTTCTGATATCCCATATTAGAGGGTCAGACTGTAACTTATATGAATTCAAACACAGTGTCGGATTTTGTTCTTAAGGGTCTGAAAGACCAAAAGAGAAAAAAGCATTGGGAGCCAAAACAAGATATTCCCAAAATATAAAGGGAACAATTAAAGCCACACATATATACAAATAAAGAGAGGAGTATAGAAACATTTCCTAAAGCATTCCATCAAACATTTACAGAGATAAGGATAGGAAGAGAGCATCAAGTAAAAGAAATCATGAACCTGAAAGGTCAAATACATTACCACAACGCCTCCAGAAACCTGTCTCCTTGCAGAAAGGGCATGAGATGAAGACCATGGATCCCTCTCCTCAGGTCCTTCTAGCCCTAACCCATTAACTACTTTAATCCACGTGGCCCCTGCACCTGAAGAGATACGAGCATATAAAGATGCTCAAAAAACTTTTGTTGAATTGTTGAAACATTACAACCTTACAAATAATATGATAAGAGGCTTTAAACAATTGGTACTAGCCTTTGGCCTACAAAGAACAAATTATAAGAGAAACCATTATCTAAACAGCTTCATATCTGGTGCTCCTTCTAGCTGACTGCTGGTAGAATGAAAATAACCCTGGACTTGGAAATAAGACACTTGGGTCTAGTCTCATCTCTGACACAAACCAACTGTGTGACCTTGGGCAAATGGCCTTACCACCTGGGCCACTTTCCTAACCTCTAAAATAAAGGTATTAAAAAGCTATATATAGCTAACATTTATGGAACCTTTACTATATGCCAGGAACTGTTACAAGATCTTTGCCTTAAATTTAAATGATCCCAAAGGTTTTTGCAGCTCTAACATTTAGTCTGACTACAGAGGAAACATGGTATGATGGAAAGATTCCAAATTCTGTACTCAGAAACACTTGACTCCCTCCCGCTCTGTTAGGTGGGGTCTTTGGGGTTTGGCGGGGGGGTTGTTTTTCCTTTTTGACAGAGAGAGTGAGCACAAGCAGGGGATGTGGGAGAGGGAGAAGCAGGCTCCCCATTGAGCAAGGAGCCTGATGTGGGGCTGCATCCCACGACCCTGGAATCATGACCTGAGCTGAAGGCAGATGCTCAACCAACTGAGCCTCACAGGTGCCCTAGGTGGGGTCTTTTCTTAAGCAGAGACTGTTAAAACAGATAGGGTTACTGAGTAGGTCTATTCCCTAGCTGAGTTAATTTGGACAAGTTGCTTAACCTTAGTTGCCTAACTAAAACTTTTAGTTTTCTAATATGTGAAAAGCATATTAAATGGTTATGTGTCTCATATAGTTTTTTGAGAGGATTAAATTAAAACTGTAATATATATTAATAATACACATATATTTTATTATTTTATTTTATTACTAGATGTGTGACCGAGGACAAATCAACTTCTCAAGGTTTTTCCTCATCTACAGATGGGAGATACGGTGTTATGAAAAGAAGTAATGTGAACATTCTGTAAAAAGTCTAGTGTTGCTGCGTTTGAAAGCATGCATAGTCCCTAACACTTGGAAAAGTATATTCAATTCTCCCCTAACACTTGTAACAGCATATACAATCCATGACAACGACGACAACCATAATAAACGAGATCTTTACTAGACCTATCTCTCCACTCCCCAACAACAAAAGAGTTTTCCTGAACATCTTTCTAGTCCAGGCTCACAGCAGGTGGACACAGAGGCTGGCTGCCAAGAACGCAGGGCCACATGGAAGTTGTAGTTCCCAGTCAAAGAGCTGATCCACAAAACGGCCGAAGTGAGACTTCAACTCCCAGGAGACACTTCGCCGCACCAAATGGCACGCTGGGAGATAGAGTACCAGCCCTCCGGGAAACACTCAGCGGGACTCCAACTCCCAGACGCCTCCGCTACGTAGGATGCCGGCGGTAAAATGGAGCCCGAGAGGGAGCTTTCAGACACACCCGGCTTCACCGGTGCGACTAGGGGCGGCTTTTAGTAATCCCAGGCCCAGCACAGGTCAGAGCTTTTCTACAACAACCACTAGGATCATTTTCTGCTGGTCCCCGCACATATCTTGAGGGATCCGGAGTAATAAAGTAGTAAGTTTGCAAGTGGCAGACTTTCACAAACAAGACCTCATTTAGCTTTCAGCTCCAGCAAGCATCCTTGGGCCACTTGGCCAGAGATCTTTAAGCTCTTTTTTCCAAGATAAAATACTGTGAGTGGCTGGTCCAAGGTCATACACCAGATGGAGAATTTGATCCTAGGGCGGAGGCTCCAACTCCGGTTCCACTAACCAGACTCCTCTCTCCAACCACCCTCCCCTAGCGTTACACGATTTACCTTTAAAATCCCCGCATATTTTTATATAAAACTGTATTAATCCATAAAATAGCCCAAACGAGTTTGGACTCATTGAGTTACCCCACCATAAAGCATTCAGTGCTTTTTAAAATGTTTTTTAAGTATCAAATTTAAGATTCCCTCCCAAAATATTGCCTTCCCTCTACCTACTTGGCTCCTTTTTGAGGCACGTGTTCAGCCACCTTTTTTCGGGAACCCAGCGCTGGGTGTTTGACACAGTTCTGTTGGGGCAGCGATTCCTGCTACTTGCCTATGACACTGGCAAACCTTGCAAAAGCGGCCAGTGCCAACTACACCACTAGGTCTGGGTGCTGGGGCGTCCCTGGAACCGCTGGAGTGGCCCCATGCCTCAGTTTACCCCCTTATGCAGCAGATGAGGGAAGAGTTAGAGTTAGGGCTGTTGGTCAGAATGGGTCCTGCAAGTTCAGGGGGTGGGAGGGTCCTCCGGGCAGACACACCACCACCCCCTCCCCAAGGAGCTGTGCGACCCAGACCCCGCCCCACTGGACTGTGGGTATATAGACCAGACGCGCGTGGAAATCAAGACCCGCACCCCAGAAACACTCTTCTACTGGGGTTTGCCCCCTGCCCCTACCTTCCAAGATCTTGGCAGCTGGGAAGTGAAAGGCAGAGGGAGGGAGCGCGGGGCACGGCGCCTGGGCGTGTGCCCACTGGGGAGGCGGCCTGAGGGAACCGGGAACTGGAGGGCAAAAGTCCCGCGACGGGACGGAGAAGGTACTACAATTCCCAGATGGCGCCGCGGCGGGGGCGGGATCTAAGATGGCCGCTGGCCTGAGGACAGAAGCGAGGGCCAATATGCATAAAGTATGAGCCTACACCAGGCCAATCAGAAGCTATAATGGCAATAACTCAGATACAGGGGTGAGAAAGATTGTTTCAGGAGAGCAGCTGAGGTGAGGATCCCTTGGGAAAGGGATTTTTGTAATAAATCTTTCTTTTTTTCCAAATGGTTAAAAGAAATAAAATTCTTCAGGCTATGCTGCTTTTTTACCTCCTTATTTCCTCCTAAACGTGTTTAACTTACACCCCCCACAACACACACACACACAAACGCGCCAATTACACACTGGCTGGATTTTCTTTCTTTTCCTCTACCCACTTTGGATCGCTCTTGAATCCTCAAGTCTTCTTTTCTTTATATTTTTCTCATAACAACGGGCTTGCAGACCTTTACTTGATCCACTTTACGACCACATTCGGCCTTGTTGTAATCCTAACTAAAATCGCACCGCAAACTCCTTTGTCCCTTCCTTTCTCCCTTCGTGCTGTTTTTCTACTTAGCACTTTTCCTTCCCAAACACTGTATATAATTCATTTATCTATCTTTTTTAATCGTCTTGTCCTCCAGAATGAAAGATCCATGCAGATGAAGATTTTTGTTCTGCTCTCTGCAGTATCTCTAGAACCTGGAACTATATATACTAGGCACTCAGGAAATATTCTTTAAATAACTGAATGAAATCTAGAGTAGCATTTTACTTTCTATTCTCCCTTTCATTGGTGCAGATCAATTAAATCCATCTCTGAGGACCATGGGGTTCTTGTGCCTCGCTCCCTTTCAAATTCAAAATCATTCTCAATATAGTCTAGGATGCTGGAGAAATAAATTCCTGATTCAGATGCAATTCCTAACTTAAAGATGTTTCTGGTCTAAAGGAGTATGAGAAGTAAACTTAATTTTGCCATAAACGCAATTGCAAATTGCAGAGCAGGTAAGTAATTGTACAAGATCATGCTGCTTATGAGCAGGGACTAGAATCCTGGCCTTCAGACTCTTGGTACTACACACCATGCTTCTTATAGCAGCCTCCCTTCAGGATTGCAGTCTCCCTTCAGGTTTGCACACTTCCCTTCTCTTTCCTACCAATCCTAGTGCCAAGGAAGAAAATATATTTGCCCATCAACTTTTACATTTAAGGAGAAGCAACGAGCAATTACACCTGGACGAACACTGGGATATTTTCTTACCTATCCTGACACCATTTCCCTTTATTTTTTCTTTCTTTCTTTCTTTCTTTCTTTGAGAGAGAGCAAGAAGGGGAGAAGAGGGAGAGCAAATCTGTAGCAGGCTCCATGCCCACCCAGGCATCCCAATTTCCCTTTTTTTTTTTTTCCCATCATTTTTTTCTTTGGCCTGCTTCCCTACATGCAGGCCATTACACCAAGTCTTCTATCTCTCATCCTTTCTGATGTTTGAACCCCATGGAGGGTAGCGAGGTGTCCTACAAAATGTCCTGGTGTGAAATACTGATGTCCTAAGAAGCTTGGCTCTCAGAGAATGTCACTATGGATTATGGTCAGTTTACAGGTCATTACACAGACACCATGGCCACCTAGAATACTAGAGAATTTTGGATAACTAGGTGAAATTGAAAACAATCACAGATGGAATAGAAACGTGATCAATTTGTATACAGACTAATTTTGTGCATAGAAATTAAACCCTCTGCCCAGACTTCCTAGCCTAATCTGTCAATTTGGGGTTGTTTCTGATAACACAACGGTTCTTTTTAGCTCTTACGAGCAGACTCAGCTCAGCAGTACCAGCTTTTCTCAGACTGAGTGGCATGAGAGATTTCAACACATGTGTCAGCAGCCAGACTAACTGTGACAAGAATCACTGAACCATATGAAAATGGAAAGCTCAACCACTAGACTTCTCCTGAGAGAGTATCAGCCTATGATCATTACATCTTCTACTTAGCAATCAAGAGGTAAATGTCATGAATATACTCAGGATCTAAACAGTGGTATCTAATAATTTATTAAACCCTTATTAAACAGTCTAGTGTGAACATACATGTATTAGTTCAACTGAGGGTGATGCTGTTTACTGGGCTCAAGGTCAGGTCAAGGTCAGTTATGACCTTCAGCAATATATACATGCATACATACATATATGCATACATACATACATAAGAAGCATCAACACATGGCACTTGCCTTGGACCCAGGATATCCAAATGCCAAGACAATCAGTACAGGATGACTATCTGATCTACAACTTGATTAATAATCACCAGGAGGTGGTATCTTTGAGTTCTCCCAGGAGTAAATCCTGAGACAGGTATTGAAGTGCAAGTCAATAATTGCAGGAAACACCAGTAGAATAGGAAAGTGAAACAGGGAAGGGGAGACAGACAAAAAAGCATGTTACTACAAGAGGTGATTGAGCTTAATCCTCCTGAGGAACCCTAGGAAACAATGTAGAACACATGCCATAATCTGAGCTACCCCACCAAAGGGACAAAAGAACTTGGTTGTTTAAATACTAACTCCCATCAGTCGGTAATTGGGGCCATTTTCCGGGGCACTTAAGTCCCTGGCTCTCTAGGCATGAACGGGCAGAGTTGCCTCAGTGTCCAGAGAAAGCCAGAGATACAGGTGCTTCCAATGGAAGTCGAGCTGGTATATCCTGAAAGGGTGAGGGAATAGGGGTACTACTCAGGGCACCAAGAGTATCTGTTCCAGGTGGCTTTGGGTCACCGGGAGCTCACTGTGGAGAGGAGCAGAATAAGAATAATTCAAAACTTTAAACCCATACCAAAACAAAACAAAAAGCAATCTACCACGTTGTATACTTCATCATGTGAAAAGTTAAGACAGATAATTCTAATTTCTCACTAACACACGCATACAAAACAAAATCTACAGCAACCAAAGCCTCTCACACTGAGAACTCTTTGGAGACCTCAGGAGAAGCTCCAGTGGGACTGGGGTTTAGAAGAAAGGGGAGGAAGGACATCAAGAAAAAGAAAAGGGAATTTAAAGAAATATTGCTGAAGACAATATGTTATTCATTTCATGATATTGAAGAACCACAAATAAAGGGCTTCAGATCTTTAAGAAATCAGTAAGTGCACAGACGGTGGTCTTTAGACCTAGAGGACAGTTTTGTGCAAGGTCCTCTGGGTTGTGCGGTTATAGCACTTCTTCAGAGCAAATAGCTTTATTTGAAGTTAGTCACCATTTGTTTGTCTTTCTGTTTATCATCTATGTCCTCCAAATAAAATGGAAGCTCCATGAAGGCAAGAACATTATGTCTTACTCAGTTGTAGACACACAATAAATACAAAGCAAATAGAGTAAGTACTAGAAGGGCCCAACATTGCACTACTCATTACACTCAGGTAAGCCATGAAATAGAGACAAAAGCAACCTTGCAAAAACCTCCCATTATCCCAAAGCTTGAGACTATCCTAATGTGTGGAAAGCCTGGTGGTCATTTAAGTTGTCCACTGGTCTTCTGCTTAAGTCAAATATTCCCAACAGCATCCTCTTCAGGCACACAGGACCTCCAGGAAAATCTTTACCATGGAAATAAATTTCAAAACTAGAAAGGCATTTGAGGTCAAAGAGATCAACTCCCTACATAATTCATCTCAGCTGTATGTCACAGGTCATAATCCAGAACTTGGGGTATTTATTTAACTGGTAAAAATCATCTCTAATAGGAAAACATTGAATTAGATAAAAATTATGCATTGTTTCTGTAATATAAAGCATAATAAGCTTGGGAAACTCAGCTCTACCCAGATGCTCATGTCTCCTTCACAAATTTCTCAACCCATAATCATTCAGCTTTTGGGCTGTTATTGGAGAAATCTGGTTGTTAATAAGAACCATCTTGTGATATGCTGAAAATTCTCTAAATTTTTTCCCTATCTTTTAATACTCTCTCCTCTTACTTATTCCTTTGTTGTTGTGTTAAATATATTCCTTGGGTGGATTTGCTCATCAGATATTTAGAGATCGTCTATTCCCTATAGTTAGTGAACATATGCATGCTGTCTCCTTTTAACTATGCCTCATAAATAATCACACTTAATCCTTCTTACTGCCATCTTTTGCAATCATCTTCCAGTTACCTAGAACATACGGTGCATAAAACTAAGCTCAGTGTCCAAGCTGTGATCTCACTAGGGCGGCTCAAAGATAAGCTATGGTTTTTCATCACTCTCTTTCAAGAAATTATACCTCTAAACACATTGCCCTGGTTTCACTGCAGCTTTAAAGACATTTCATCATTCTTGGGGGGATAAAAACCCTTTAAAAGCATTTCCTAAAAATTAAAAAGTATCTTTCTTTAGTAGAGGACTTAGTGCAGAATGGGATGCAACTTCACTTCAGCTCAGTTTTTCATGTACTAATGGTTACTCCGGGCTAGCCACTGTGCACTGGGCTGGGATTCACTGAGGAATTAGACACAGTCCCTGATACTGTATGGTAATAGAAACCATAGGCAAGTAAACAGGTGAACAATTCTATGTGATGCTTTAGAAATTGATGCCAGAATGAGTCAATTCTGCTACCTACAGTGGAGGGAAAAGAGAGTTCTAGGCAGAAGCAACAGCATGTGACAAGTACCAGAGCTCAGAGAGGATAGATGTATTGGTCCACAATCTACAGTAGAAGTAGAAAAGTGGAGAAAGAGGCTGGAGGAGACCTAAAAGCCAGCTCAGGACACTTTCACAAGCACACTTCTTAGTTTGCTAAAGGGCAATTGAGAGGATTGTAACTATTAAATGAATTCCTTGATTTTGAGGCAAACAGAAAAATTCATTCAACAATTATTTACTGAGCACCTACTACATGCCCCAGCATTGTTCTAGGTTCTAGAAAATGCAACAGTAAGTAAGTCACAAAAAATCCCTCCCCTGGGGGTGCCTGGATGGCTCCACCAGTTAAGCATCTGACCCTTGGTTTCCACTCAGGTCATGAT